ATAGATGCACGATCTTCTTGTGGGGTGCCGGTGGCTTTTTGTGCAAACAATGGATCCCTTGCATATAGAGCTCTACCTGTGGTTTTTGCTGCAGATCTGCTAGATGTGTATGAATATACAGAGAGAGAATAGAGAGCGAGAGAGAGAGAGAGAGAAAAAGAGAGACATGTTCCATATTTTGTGGATGAATGGCACCCCCTTCTGCAGTTGTTTGCAGCTCTTTGGAGGACTTCGAGACGATGGGTGGGGGAAAAAGACAGCTTGTGGAGAACGACCTGCAGTAAGCAGACATGGTTTCTGCTTACTGCAGTGCTGCATTTCTTTTGAAAACCACCCTTGGGGAAGACATCTGAACCGATGGAACATCTACAAATCAACTTTCCATCGGTTCAGAATAAGATTTTGCAGCGGGTGATGGATGGGCATGGATATTGGATGATATAGGAGCAACTCTCTCTATATATAAATATATGTGACCGTGCAAGTACTGCATACGCGGCTGTTTGTTCATCTTTGTTCAATATACTTCTTGTCTATCCACCCGGTACCAACTGCAGTAAGCAGATTTTCAGGGGACTGCAGTAAGCAGAAATTTTATGTTACAGTCCCAAAAATTTGGGGTCACTATTCTTATCATGCCTCAACTTTTTCTCGAGATCTGCTTACTGGTTTGAAGGACCACAATTCTGCCTACTGGTTGTCCTTGACTATATATTTGACACAAAGTCCTGGATTGTAGAAGATCTATTGCACCCCAATCATACATTTGAACGTACTTTAGCATTCTAGGCAACACCGGCCAAATCATTTCATGATGTTTCCTGCTTTCGTTTGCGCCAGGCCTGACCACTGCACCAGTCGAAGGCCAACACCACTTCTTGAGGCACCCTCCGTCGACCTGCGCGTGGTCCAGAGGTGAGGCAGGTGAGGATCTGGTCGAAAAACCGACGACCTCAGAGCCACATGCCCAACATTGCCCAACATAACGTACCGTATTGGTTTCAAGGTCCCAACTCGTGGTTTGAGAGTTTGACACCCCTTAAAAGCGGTGGTCTATACTCACTTTTTCCATCCTTTTCCCATGTCAATGCTAGCAAAATTTGGCCAAAGTGACAAGTGCTAAAGGAAGAAGCCAGGTTCGGAAGAAGTCAAGACATCGCTGCGTGTGCCCCGTGCCCCGTGTACTTGGCTTGAGAACGAGCCAAGTGAACATCCGGCTTTGCTGCGCTTGGAGCGGTGATCACCAGTGGCTACCCCACCACCTCACCGGAAGCTGCGGTGCCAGGCTTCGCTCAGGTCGGCGCCGACTGCGCACGTCAACGCGCGGTCCGCCTGTACGCGCCCAGTTCGAGGTCTTCAACAGCAGAGATCTCAAAGTGAAGTGGCACATTGAAGGCCTCGGGTTTGGTCCGAGTTGAAGTGAAAGATAGACGGTTCTGTCGTTTTTCGAGGTTCAAAAGCCCGGAACGGACTCTGGAGATGGTGCCACCGTGGGCCTCTAAAAGGTGTCCCTGTCCGAAGTGTCCGAGTCTCCATCACTTCGCCACCCGTCCCGATTCAACTGCAAATTCGGTCAAACCTGAGTTGTAATGGTTGGATTCATTCAATCAAAGCCACAAGAACAAAAGGAAAACCACGGGTGTAGATCAAACGCGATCACACATTCGTTGCGACACAATGCCCGTTAGGAGTGAGCCTATAGACCCAAATTCAGTGGTTGTCTATGCCTTGATCCTGATCCACATGCACCAATCCCTTTTGCGTCTTTTAAGGCAAAAGCAAGAAAACCAAATATCCCCATCGAGTAGCCAAATGTAGCAAAAGAATTCGGCTGAACAGTGAAACAAAAGGGCAGGCCTTGCTGTGCTTGGAGAGCATGGCTTGCGACCAGCCATAGGGTGAAAGCCAAACCTCCCGTGTTTGGCTCGTGAGCCGGTGTCATCTTTTGTCTGTGATCTTGAAAAAGCCTCCCAACGAGATACATCCATGTCAAGATCAGGGGAGCTGAAGTGGGATGATCACTCCACGGTCCTTTTTCATATGGCTGTGGGTCACACCTGGAGCCCCAAATCCTGGTGGACATCCCGAACGGAATCTGTTCAGTTGATCCGCTTGGTTTTATGTCCCAACCGAGGTGATCAGCCATCTGCATGGAGCATCTGAGCGGGACTTGGAGCTCAAACGTGTGGGACTTGGAGATCGTTCTAAAAGTCGCGAAGCGTTTGAAGATGCAAAACTCAACTGGGAGCTTCAGAAAGGACCAGGCTCCTCTGTGTTTAGTCCAAGCTCCTGTGAAGTTCGGTTCTCAGGCATGGTATTTGTGCGCGTGGATTCACAAAAGGTGCCAATTGTCACAATAAAAGAAAACACCAGGTGCACATGATGTCACAATCTGTGATCAGTCTGCTTGCCATTCTGAGAGCCACTCCTACTTGGTTGGTTTCTACCTCGCGCCTGGTCCGGCGTGATCATGATCTGGCCCTGCAAAAAGAATAGCAGAAAGTTGATCAACGAACACGCCCCCGGCTAATTAACAACATGTTGCGCGCCAAAAGAGATAAATATTAAAACATCAACATCCCAAAAACGCCAATGGTGGATCCACCATTCCCGCGGTCCTACCGAGTTGCGTTCAGCAACCTTCCCGGCGATTCTGAGCGGGAAAAGAAGGGAATGTCGTTCACTCACAACAGGTCTCTTCCCGTCAACGACCGTGTGTTGATGGATGTGAATGGCAATCTCTACCGACATCCGAAGAGGATTCCGAATTCATTGGCTGCTTTTGCATGTGCTTTTGAAAAAAGAGTGATAAGATGTAATGAATAATGTCCACCCAAACAGAATGTTCCTTCTTGGAGAGGATTCTGCACCTTTCTCTCTGCATCAATCTGAGTACTCGGATGTGCCCAGTGATGAAAGTGAGAGGGAGCGTGGAGAAGAACTTGCCCTTGATCCCAGCTGAAGATATAGTGTTGCTGGAACTGTTGCTGGATCATGCCCCGAGGAAAGTAAATCCTTCCAGGAAAGTGTGTTCGCCAATTGTGCAAAAAGTTTAGCCATCATTCGTAGCTAAATGCGAATTGAAGGGCCACCATGAACAATTCCTAACGAGGGATACAAAAGGTGTCCATTTCATCCGTAATGCACACATGATCCGATTATCCCGTCAAGTACCAATTTAACCAACCAAATCCAACAAATAGTGAGTGGTGTGAAAGGCCTTTGCCTGAATGAACAATAGGGGCTCATATGGACTACTCCAAAGTATTATATACCTTCTAACTGACCAACCAAAAGGGGGGAAGTCGGATTTTCATCGCATCAACGGCGAGGCCATTCCAAGCCCTTAGTCACAGACTCAGAATGGTGTGTCTTCTCTAGCTCTCCAATTGGCCTTACTAAGAAAACACAGAGACGATCGAACAAACAAACAAAAAACCGTTGGATGGTGCATGTTACGTGGCCCATAATCCGGGTGTCGTCTTGGCACCTGGTCCCAACCATTGTCGTTCTGATTGAAGACTTGAAGTCCATTCGCCGCCGTGTCCATGAGCACAAAGTCACCTCTTATTGTTAGTAGCAAGGCACTTGTTTCTAATAGCTTTTTGTTACTACTAAGGCACTTGTTACTACTAGCGATGCACTTGTTACTAGCACAAAGTCACCTCACGCAGCATGACCTTCGCTCACGAGCGAACCAGACACGATGGAAGGCGCACCTCGACCCCTGTCTCACCCCTTTCTGTCCAGACCAGTGATATGAGTCTTTGAGACACAAGTCTGGCGTACATCGAGTTACGTTTGGATTCGTGAAATACAGTAAATCGAGTTGAGTTACTATTGTTACGTTGTCCTTAGTAAATCGAGGTATTGGTGCATAGGTTTGATAGTGTCAGCAAAACCGAACTGCAACTAGCATACAATCTGTCTGATCCTCGAAGAAAAAACAGCAAAGATCCGACAAGATCAACCGCATGAATAAAAAAGGACCCAAATATAGGACCCATAATTATTGGAACTCATACTTCATTATGGACCATTATGGACCCATAAATGCATCCTCCCCACCTTGATACGAGCTCACCAGATGGAAGCGCGCGTGGTTCAGCGCACGTTGCAAGTCGTGGGTCACACCGTTCTCCTCCAAGACCACCAGCTGAGTGCCGAAGGGCCTCTGACTCGCCGCCGTGCGGACGTCTGCGGGTCGGGATCCGCCACATCGGCGGACTCTGGGACTGGTCCCTTCATCTCTGGGATCGGTTGGAAGGATCTCTGGGACTGGTGAGCTGGTGAAGAGCTATTCCCATTTTGGGATGTGTTTCTGGAGTCAAATCAGGTGAACTCTGCCTGCCGTGTAATAAAATCCTCCCCCCCAATACCCTGCTGTTTGGACTGTGGCAGGATGAAAGTGCAGCCTTTGCTTCGGTCAAAAGTTGAGCTATGCATGTTTATCTGCAAGATGGGGCACAATAGTAGCTTTATGAAAATTTGTCTTCAAGTCACCACACCCCAAGTGGCGGTGGAACAGGACATAGATTCGGGATTTTCCCAAACCAGTGCCAGGAACTTCTTCTGGTGTGACGCGCGGCGCAGGGTTAGACGTGTCAACCTGGCGAAACAAGGGCATGAAGGAGCCGGTCTGCGGACGCTGCGCTGCCATTCCCGGGTCCCCAGGCTGAAAGAAGCTCATGCTCACATTCAGCAGTTTCTTGAAGTCGCCCACGTCCGAGAAAGCATCACCTCCGTCCGGAGAGTCCTCTTCGTCCGAGAAATGTCCTGTCCGTTTTTGGGGGGTTTAGGGTTGCAGAGGGGCATACAGATACGTGTTTTGGCAAGCACGTGGCACGCGACGTGGTGTGCAGAAATCAAACGTATATACTATATTCAATGCCTTTTGAACTTTTGTGGGTGTGTTTCTAACGAACAAAACCATCACCAAACCATGGGCATTCCCTTGCGTGCCCTTCTTCTTTGAAAATCACCTGATCATAAACTCTGTCGAAAATCCAACTGCACGCTCAAGTTTCTCAAGTTGCCAAACCATCCAAGTCCCTCTGGTTTTTCACCTGGGAGAATCTCTCATTGACCTGCCAGGCCACCGGCTACATTTGTTACCATCATGTAGCATCGCATGTTCTCACCACCAAGCCACCATCGACCACTCGGAGCTGGCCTCGCCTCCGATGTGGGCATCCCAGGCGCTATGCACCACGCCTTTCAAGACCTTCAACCTCGGTTTTTACGTGGTGGGCAGTGCTTTAGGATTTAAATCCGGTGCACCATTGTCCCAGGAAATCCACAAACATGTGTCCCTATTTGGCTGATGGTGTACTTGGCTGATTTGCAATTATGGGATCTGTGTTGGAGGAAACTAAAGACTCCACGTGCGAACTCTAAAGTTCTTTAAAGCACAGTTCCGGACAATCCGATTTGCACTGGAAACACAAGATCTTCCACCCCTTTTTCTCTCTATATATTTTGGAGCCCCCTCAACCAAAGAATTAACATGTATTTTGCGGAATCAAAACACTGGCAAAATTGCTTTGTTTTGCTTCTAACAATGCCACGGCCGTAGTCCGGCAAGGCCGGGCTGCGATGGAACCAAAAGAAGTCCGGCAAGGGATTCGGAGAGAAAAAAAAGAGAGGCAACTCTTGTGCCGCTTTCGATACTGTGTTACATCAAGTTACTGCTTCCCACACTGGCTATTTACAATGCGATTTCAATCATTGGCCCGATCTGCCAATCACTTGGAGTGGCTGCATCTGCCTGACACGACCTGCATCTGCCTGACAGGACCACGCACCGCGCCGGCGCGGTGAGGGCGCTGAGGTGCGGTCTCCGAGGGAGTCGCCCCAGGTCCTCTGCCTCCGAGTCGCATCTCTTCGGTCACCTTCCGACCCTGTGTGCTCTCGAAGTTCGGGATCCTCAGATCCAGCTGGTGAGTGCAGTCAGTGTGTTGGGTATGGGGGGTTCAAACAAAAATATAGCAAGAATGACTAGGTTGATGAGTTATCCCATGATAGTGATTGATAGAATATATCCAAAATAAAAACATGTAAAAACAAACCTCGAAGGATCTCAGCATCTCTCATACTCGCTCTTGCGACGTAACTCGCTCTTGGGCGCCCCAGCAGATCAATGTTCTGTCCCACGACAATCTGCGGCATCAACAGCTGCTTCTGAGCACAGCGTAGCGCGATGGCCTGTGTGATTGCTGACACCTCAGTGCTGTGGTCAAGAGAGAACAAGTGTGGCGGGTGCTTTAGAATAAGGAGACATGACCCGAAACACCTCTGGGAAGATCAAAAACAAACTAAACCCAGAAACACAACCCAAACACGACTTCCTAGCTCCTTGAAGTGACAAGTGATCTGTTGAGCAAAATGAAATGTCAAGTGAGGCCCTTGAGCCTTGGGCAGCAACTACTTGGAACCTCTTGTTGATCATGATTGCCATCATACTGACAATCTTCTCAACGCAGCAACTGCACCACACGTTTACGGCACCATACTTTTTTTTCAGAGCTGTCGTGAGGCCAGCGCCTGCTGAACGAAGTCCATCGTCAGGTTTTGTTCATTCCCGATTTCCAGCGTGAAGATCTTGTAGGGCCTGGTTCGCCTCGCAGGTCGCCCCGCCGATTTCATCGAAAGGTCTGGGTTCTTGGTATCGAGAGTTCGAGAAAACTTCCCAGAATGCCAGAATCTACGAAGTAACAAAAAAACCTTTTGGTTCCATGTGGAGACGAAATGAAACGCGGCAACGAGGACGAAATAGGATGAAACCTTGAAACTGGGAAACATGGGGAAGCAAACCTGCCCTGGCAAATGTGTTCAGTTCCCTATGTGCGTTCCTAAATTGCCACCAACCTCTGAATCAGACCATACCAAGTTGAGAGGATGAAAAATTATCTGAAGATCGCGTGACACATGTCAAAACATCCAATTTATATTGATCCATTCCGCTCCACAATGCCCCGTTTTCCGTTCGAGATGCCCATCGGACATCCGCAAAGTTCCCCACTTAGAGGACGCGTCCGAAGCAAAGCAGTACCTTTTTCCAAAGCAAAGTGCCGAAGGACCCACACATAGCCAGTCACCCAAACACAATTTAAACCATTAACGATTAACGCCAAGGCTGTGAGTAACATCAAAGAACCCGCACGGTTGAATCACCGACGCGGGGTTCTACTGCACTCGGGTTTCTGTGGTCAACAAATTTAGTTGAATCTTAAAGGGTGCGGGCGCATATGACATGACGTCCTGTGACAAGGTTCAACTCATCCAATGCAACTGCTTAGCATTTGCCCAAACTGAAAACAATAAAGGCAAGTGGTTCTTATCCTTTTTAAGTTGGGACGTGCAAACGCAACAGAAGGGGCAATTGGAAGTTCCGAACCGCATGCATCGATGGTGGCACTCGATGAAGTCGGCCACGTCCTCAGGGGTCTCCTGGTTATTCAAAGTGATGACGCAGTGCACCTGGCCACGCGAACTGCACAACCCAACCGAACCGCACAGCCCACCGCGCGGATGGCCCACCTCTGCAGCTTCGCAAAGCTCTAAGACTTCGAACAGGCCGAAGCCACTGCTCCTGGGCGATGACAACGAGTTCTGAATGGACATTCTGATCACACGGTCATGTCGAATTATGAGCCGCATAGTCAAAGACCATTGTCTTCCTTACTTTCAGGCCAACTATCCCTCAACGAGACCGAGACCGAGCGTCACGTAGGGATGCCAAAAGCCCTGCCAAGGCTGACGACTCTCCCGTGGACCGCGGAAGTGCTTCCAGCGGTACTCGGGCGCGTTGCACATGCTGCCTGAGCCATGGAAGGCTGTGAGAGGCAAGGCACAGGGCTTGTGAAGTTACATCTTTGATGGGTCTCGCTGGGACTGCTCCGGCCAAGCGTCAGACCCATCGGCAAGTACCAAAGCTGCGCGGCGCAGCAAGAACGTATTTGAGTGCACTCTTGTGAAAACGTCCTTTCCAGCAGACTGCAGAACCTTCAAGAAGAACGCTGTGTTTGGAACGCAAGACAAAGAAATCAAGAAAACTAGATCTAAGATGATCTAAGCACGATAATCCAAATATCTTGCTTCGATGCTCAAAGTACATTACCAGATCTGCAGCATCACCTGCATCGCCAAAGCCTAGAAATGTGTTTTCGGTTTTCAGCCGGCACTCTTTTGCGCTTTGAATGTCTGTGGAGGCGAAGCTTGGTTAATTTGGAAGGAGTTCGGACGTCCGTGGCGTGGCACCAAATCATCCTGATGATCCTTCCTGCGAACCTGTGCAGTTTCATGTACTATAAAACATTGAGCCAATGCCATGCTTGCAAAACACCTAAGGATACTCTGGTGAAACCATGAAGAAATCCAAAGCGACATGAACCAAACCTGGGACGGTGCCAAACTCATACTTCTCTGAAATTGGGATTCAATAGTTCAGTTAGTCTGAGGCAACCAACAATCGTCAAACCGACTCCCAAACTCTCTTGCAATCCCCAAACCCCCCAAACTGAAAACTATGAACAGCTCCAACGTTGGATTTGATAAAGAAGAAGAAGACAAGGGCCTGACCGGACATCCCATCGGTTATGCCATTTGGATCTCACCATGGAAACCCTCCCATTCTCGGGTTTCACTCCAAAGACCCGGACGAGATCGGCGAACGAATTCACATCGACACCTGGAGGTCGATGTCAGATTCCCATGTGACGTGATCTCATGTGATTTTTGCCGATACATATCCATACATTATACATACATCGATTGAACAATTCCATGCCAAAGGTTCATTCCAATTGCTTAAATGTCTTTATTCCATACATTCACATTGCCGAATGTGTATTCCAATTCTTCCCCAGTCTGCTCTGTCCAACCAGCGGCCCTGACCAACACGCGCCAACGGAGCGCCTCCTAAGCGGAGCACTTCCCAAGCGGCGGTTTGAAACATGGCCTCCGCCACCCCGCGCCGAACCGGCCTCAGGGAGTACCCAGAAGCGATGCGAAGCTGCACAGGCGATGTTCTTGAGTTGTTCCATTCCATGCGAAAACCAAGAACCTTCTGAAAATCTACTGATTTTTTGTTCACACTGGGAGTAATTCTAGTGTAGGCAAACACTAGAACCCCAAACCTTGATAAGTGATAAGCGACTATCCTCCAACACTAGGTGATTCAGGGCCCAAAAGAAAGCAATAATGACACAAAACTAAAGGGAAAATCGTGAATCCACATAAATACCAAGCAAACACGTCTGGACCCCTAAGAAGAAGCCATTTAAAACGCTTGCTCAACGGTCAAAACAGTGGCTCCAGGAAAGAAATGTGGAACTGCGTGTTTCTTCCAAACTAGTAGGAGCAAGAACGCTACTAGGGGCTCCTGGCATCGCTACTAGGAGCAAGGACGCTACTAGGAGCAGGAGCAAAGGGCATCGCTACGAACGGAGCAAGAACGCTACTATTATGTGTGGCGCAGTACCTGCTTCGATTGGATGTGTGTGGCCAAAGCAAATCTCACGACCAATACACTGAGAATGTGCTCGTTGGGACAGTTGGATCTACAGCTCCATACGTCTTTTTCCGGAAACCATGTTGCCTTTCTTTCATGAAATATGGCCCAAACAGTCCAATCCAGTCACTACGACCCTCTCCTTATCCGGTTTTTCCCTGTGTTTCCAAAATAAGCTACGTACTAGTAGCAAGGGCATCGCCACAAACGGAGCAAGAGGACGCTACGAGTTCGGGGCTCCTGGCCGTACGATCGGACGCTCTGAACGGAGCTCAGTGGCAATCCCTTGAAGCGGCCCCAGTCGCCTGGGCCGAGGTACACCTGGTCCACCATCGCTTCGCCTCAAGCGATGTCTGAGACGAAACAGGCTGCGAGGTGCTCAACGGCGAGCAGGACATTATAGATCAGATGTGAGGCGATTAGATGTGAGGTACTTTTTTGAGTTTTTTCCTTTTAATATCAAAATATATCAAAATGGTTTTGAAGGATTTGTATCAACAATGACTCTATTAGAAGGGCCCAGTTTGTATCAAGTCAAACTGTAGTTCAACTGTAGATCTGGTTTGCAGGATTTGTATCGTTGATGTTTTTGACTCCGTGATCTGGTTTGCAGTCCTCCCGATAAGAGATGTGACATGATGTGACTATCGCAGACAGGGTGCTACTACTAGTAAGGCACTTGTTACTACTAGCGATGCACTTGTTCCTAATAGCTTCTTGTTACTACTAGTAAGGCACTTGTTCCTAGTAGCGATGCACTTGTTGCTCTCAATATTCATGTTTCATCAGATGTCATCAGTTCGCTTTAAGCATTTGTGCTCGACCCTCCTGTAAAAATCATCTGATTTCCGCGAGGAGTGCAAGAAATTAAGGAGAAACATGGAGAAACACTTCCAAAGCTTTGTGCCCTGTAAGAGGTATTTATGAGGGTCAAAATGCCTCTTTCAAAGCTTATATAGAGACACCCTGAAAGGCCCGCCCTAGTTCGGGGTTGGGCCTTCGATGGCGATCTCAAAGCCGCCACTGCAGCGGTAGCAGCGGTGCGGCAGCTCCTGCTGCAGCTCACCATGGAATTTCTCCCAGATTGTTCGCGTCCAACAGCTCTGTAGATGCAAGAAAAATGAATCAAAAAGATTCAAAAAGCACCCCCTTCGTTGGTGTCCTCATCCGTCCTCACCCTGGAAGCACCCGTCCTTGGCCTGCACGCAGAATCTGCGGCCGGATCTGCCAGATCTGTTTTTCACCATGCCACAATGGCTCGTGACATTGCTCGTGAGGGTGAAGCTCAAGGGGCGCCTGAGATGATCAGCTTCGCAAAGACTCTCAGCTGATCAAATGGCCCTACAGGGTGTCCTGTAAAAAGAAAACGACTTCGAAAACAAATTCAGAACTTCTAACAAGTAATTAGAAAACGTGACCTTTGTTCAATGCCACTCACAGACTCACATCAACACTTAATTATTGTTGTCTTCCAAGGTCCACTTTCATGTTTGATGAGGCTTGATCAACTTCTGTAGACTCTAGATGAACATGTTTTCTTGCTTCAGCACATGGTCGGACATCCTTCAATCAACATGCGCACATGAAGACGCGCCCAAAACGCCGTGGAGCTTCCACCGTGAGGATGCCCCAAGCCATTGGCTGTACACGGGCGATGCACGTTGCTCTCCGTCCCGCAGCGAAACAGTGACCCGGGCCGCTTCGATACGATCCACTTTGGCCCAAAGGACGCAGTCGTAGTCCTCGCAGGGCACGCGCGGCTGTACACGTAGCAGTGCGGGGTGCAACTTCTGGAAGCTGTTGACTTTTTTACTGGATGGTTTTGGTGGGTAAGGACCCTAGTAGTTAAGCCGGAAGGATCAACATTTGCTACTCTTGGGATCTAGCAATGTACCTATGGTTGTGCACTTGGCTGTCGGAACCCTCGGGGAGCTCAACCTCTTGCTGAGGCAAAAAGGTCAACCTCTTCCGCTCCAAAACCGGAACTTCGAACCTTGTTTGTGGATCTTCTACCACCTTCGAACAGGTGGTTCTTGGACACCCCGAATCACCTCTAAGGGGCATTTATAGACACCCCCTTGTTACAAACCTTTCGATGTTTCCTTCACAATTTCTCCACCTGTCCTGTTCAGCGTCCCACGTGTCCCACGTGCGAGTGACGCAAAGCGACCGATCCTGGCCTTCCCGGCCATCAAGGCGAAACCTTGCTGACCGAGGCCGTAGTTCTGGATGGCGGTGTCCCGCAGCAACTGACTCTGATGACCTGGGATGGAACATGGGCGACCTGTGGAGCCAATGTGAAGCACCTGATGGGTGGCGGAATTCCGTTGAAACCCCTTGAAAAGACAGGCATAGCCTTCTGATTTTGAAACGAAGCTTCAAAACACGTCGGTCCACGAAACAGTTCGACACAATAATTGAAACCTTCCATGCTTCCTATCACAAACTCTCCGATGAGGAACATCCCCTTACATGACTCCAACATACTCCAAGTATCCAAATCATTATACCTCTTTACCCATCCATCCATCCATCCATCCATCCATGAACATCGGAAAGCGTTGAACCCAGCAGCCCCGTTGGACCCCGACCTCCCCCCTTCAGCCGAAGCTCCATGCACCGCGTCCCGCACCACGGCGATGCGGCCTTTCTCCGCGGCGGAGTTGGCGCGCAGCCAGGTGCGCCAACGCCGCGGGGAGGGCCACCTAGGCAGGCGAGGCGTTGAGTGAAGGATCAAATGAAAAGGTGGGCGTCGGTGCTTGGTTCTTTTGGTGAGAACCGACGGTGCGAGCGCTTGAGAAATCCTTCATGTAAGGAGTCTACAGTCGAGGTGGGCCGTGACAAGGCCACTAGCGGCTAGCCTTTGTCCAGCAAAGATCTTCACATCAACTGACCTCCAAAACGCTAACCTTCCCGGCTTTCCCTTTCCTCTGGCCCAAAGCATCCGTGAAATAGCCCGAAGTATCTCACATTCACATCTTCTAAACCTCGAACTCATCCTCTAGCCTCCCCCCCTTCAGCTTCCAAGAGACTTAATTGAGGACTTTATGGAAATCCGTTAATTTAGTCACCCCCTTTTTTTTGAGGTGTAACAGCCGTTCAGCCGTCAGCTTCTACATCTTTTGGCCCACAGAACGTGGCTCGGGTTCTCGGGTTCTCGGTCGTCCAAGCCACGCGGGTTCCGCAGGGATCGCATCGATGATGCGAGCACCGCTGAGGCCTTCAAAGGCTGGCTCCTGGTGAGTCACTCTACCCAAAGGTGTTCAAGTTCAGCAAAAAATATTTCACCTGATCCTGGACCCTGGAAGACTGCCAGCTTGACAAAGAGCAACATCACGCGCAAAAACGGCAGTAAAACATTCACCCGATGGCCAGTCTACCTGTGAGCGTGACCCACTGCCCGGACGAGACAGTTGTATAGTTCCAATTTCATTTGCCACGGAACAATGCAACCCTCTTTCTTCATCTTTCTTCTAAAAATAGACCAAAATATGCTCATCGCATGTGTGTTCATTCTCAGGACGCATTCATTTAAACATCCAAAAAAGGAGTTGAAGGAAAAGTTGGTGATAAAAAGGTGCCGTTGCACGACACCACTTTCTTCGCTCAGAATCCATTCCTTTCCCAACAGCTGAAGACCACACATCGTTCACCGGCAACATCACTCCTCAAAGGACTCTCCCACGAGCATTTGAGAGTATAGCCCGCCATAGAGCTCATGGTTGACGTCCTCAATGCCTGGCCGTCGCCCATCGCACATGCAGACCAGATTTCGTTCACTGTCGACTGGAAGTGGTCGTGCAGTTGGGTTTCTGGTTCCAAAAGATTCTTCAGCTCCAAGTTCCAAGCTAAAAAGCCATTCAAAAGCCATAAGTGCCTCTGAGTTGACCCGCTTCTCCCCGCACACCGGCATGCGCGGACACGCGCTTCTCGCACCTGCTCCCACTAGCCGTCGCGCTGGTGGGCCGGCGGCACGATCCTCCACGTGTACCACCGTCGCCAGCATGGCCATGGAGGGCGCCATGAACACGAAAGTGGAGTGCATGGAGGGTGCCATGGCGCTATGGCGCTGAGGAGGAACGGAGAAAGTGGTGGGGTGGCACCTTTATAAGAAAAACCGATAACTTGCTCGAACTATAACCTGTGAGGCCATGTGAATCAGTCAAAAAGGGCTATGTTGGCCCATGTGATTGCCTGCAAGTCATAAGCTTTTCCTAAGAGGGCGCCCTCTCCATTCGCCTCCATTCACTCAATTCACACCAAATCCAACAGGGTCAGTCATCTGAGGTTCAAGCTGATCTATCTACATCTAGCCCATGATGCTCACTGGGTGTTACCTCGTTGATGGAGGAGATCTTTTGTGGACATCAAGTTGATTCTTTTAGGAGGTGTTTTTTGGAGATATTTAGCTCTCTGGTCTTTCTAATGCCGACATAGCAAGTTCCCTGGCAGGTCCATGTGTGGTCGTCTTCCAGTTCTACCTTGGGATGACTTTCGCCATCTGATCTCTTTCTTAGAAACAGGAAACACCCAAAAGGAGACATGTCCCGGTTCCAAACCACCGCTTGTCCCTGGAACCAGGCGGAACCATAGCGGTTTGGAACCGTATTTTCGGAGAGACATCGCATCACCGGTGCTTTCTGATCTTTTTGCTATTAGGTTCCTTTTGCTTGTAGTAACAAGAAGCTAGTAGAAACAATAAGCTAATAGCTACTTGCTCCTAGTAGTACGGCCAGGAGCCCCGTTCGTAGCGTCCTTGCTCCTAGTAGTAAGGCCAGGAGCCCCGTTCGTGTAGCTTCTTGTTCCGTTCGTAGCTTTCTGATCAGCCCAAAACTGAGCCTCCGCGCCCCTTTGCCGCGGCCTCCTGTGGCTTCGCCACGGTGGACGGCGGCGGAGGCCGTTTCTTCGGTGGATTGGAGGTCTTTCGACACCCTTTGCACTATCTGGTTAGCTAGCATCATCACCTCCGTGAAGTGTATGAAAACAGACTCAAACTATTCGTCTTGAATGCCTTTGGTAGTTGAAGAAGGGGAAGCGTCAGTGTCAGTTAGAGTGAGCACAGGATGGTGAGGCGTTCTTTCAGTCGCGCTCCTCGGTTCAGTCGTTTTCACAAACAATAAGACATACAACATGAATGAACATTTTCAGGAATCAGGAAATGCAATGAAATTTTACTTAAAATACATCCAAGTGTTTGTTCATGTTTGTTCATCCTTGAGGGGCAGCTCGAGAGGCACGGAAAGCTGTGATTTGGGCACTGACATTCCAAATACCCCAGTTTTGCTCGGGGGGTGGCGTCCCCTCCACACAAAGTTCCCTCCTGGCACGGGCTTCGGGCCTGAGAGCCGAAACACCGAGACACGACCTGCGACTTACATGACTTCTATAGATGACTTAGTATGACTTATATTATGATATTTAACATATTAGTCAGAGACATATTAGTCAATTAGTCATGTCATAACACACATTTCTGAGTATATCTAAATATATAATACTAATTACTAATATTCTATATATCTGTTATATATGTGTCATATTGAGTCAGAGATATGGAGTCATCTTTTGCTCTCCAAATTCCATCTTGGATGAATATTTCGGTGAAACTCCGGAGCATATTTGGGATGCATGTCCTTAATCCCCCCCAAGAATCTACCATGTTGGAGGTTGCAATTGCCTGGGCATCACAAGCATTCAGATTCAGTTATATTAGCTGAAAATCAATGAACAAACGGGACACGCTTTTGTTGCCCTGTTGTTGCTGCCTCCTCTCTACAATGCAATTTTGACTTGATCTATATATCTCTTTTCATCTCTTCTCGTTTTAAACTGCCCCAAAAGAACAACTTTGACCTTACAAACACAAAACCTATGTTCATTCCAAAACGAAAACACTCTAACTGTCCATTGGTCCACACCGTGCCTCACCGCTCTCGAGCGTTCCAGGTTTTGAACATGTGTGTTCGCTTCGACAACTGACCCCAGAAGAAATGCGTTTGTTCTTTAATGAAAGATGGTGCCGCCCAGAACGTCACTCATCCTTAAAGTTTCATCAAAACCCTTATTGCTTTGATACACTTACGTACCATGTGTCTCCTGACTGTAGCAGTCGAGAAGTCTCCTTACAGGCCCGGCCTATGAGTTGGGATTTGGCACCAGGAAAAAAAATTGGGCATTGTGGAGGGTTTGGGAAGCCATCAAGATGGTGGCGCAAACACTGCACAGTCTAAAAACGAGTGAACACTCATGAATAAAGGAATAAAGCGAATAAAGGATCTGTGACACCATCATCCTACCAAGGCTCAACAGGGTGGAGTCCAAACTGGAAAGAAACCAACTGCCACCACATGCCGGACACTGGAAGCGCCACGCCGAGACTTTCCGCCAAGCTTCCTGGGCCAGAGGCCAAGACCCGCGAGGCCTCGTTCGAAGCCGTCTCGGCCGCCTCATTGCCGGCCGTGGCCACAGTGGGAAAAGAAGTTCCTTCACATCAGGTTACCCTCCAAGTCAGGTGCCTCGTTCTACTGGGCCCAATTTTCAGCAGGACCTCGTAAAACTGGCCCTTTTGAGGTGGAGGGTTAACTTCGCGGGTTAACAGCAGAGTTCGGAAGCAACCTCTTCCATTGCCTGGGCTGGATGGCTACATGCAAACATGCCGAACGTCCACGAGGGCGATCAGCTTCACCTGTTTGTCGCGGTGCATTGCGCTACCTGGGCAAGCCACAGCCGACGACCAGCAAACGCAGAGGCAGCATTAGAGACCACTTCCTGGGCCCTCTTTTCAAAAGGTGCAAGAGTGCCGTAGCATAAACGCCGATGGAAACAAGGCCATTTGGCATCAAGCAAACGCAACACTTGGCCACTGGACGAAGATCTGCTGTCTGCGTACCGCATATATAACCTAACCCTCTGACCTTTTCCACATACATGCGGCAATCCGTCCATGGAGCGTTGTCAGGTTTGTGATGGACAATGTACTATCTTGATCGATCTATCTTGACATCTTGTGGCAGCCTTTGATACTGGCATCGCTCTGGCTGGCGTAAGTGCGCACCAGCCGCGCCTGCTCTAACAACACTCTTCAGCCTTCAGCCTGCACGATCTATCAAAAAAACAGGAACAGTCATGCAAAATACTAGGTGGCAAATAACCGAACAGCTAGTTCGTTCCTGAATTGGGTCCTCAACATCAAGATCCAGCGCTATCGCTCCCTTCAACTTTTCTTGCGGACAAAAATGGGCTCGTCATTTCTCCAGTCACCCTAAACCCTTGCTGTATCGGTGCAAACCGCGTTTGTAGGGACACGCTTGGCAGGCGCAGCGGGGGCCCACGACGTGCTCAAAGGGAGTGGTTTCGCTCTTGGCCTCCACCGTTCGTAGCTTCTAGCTACGTTCGTAGCGTCCTTGCTCCGTTCGTAGTGATGCCCTTTGTTCCTAGTAGCTTCTTGTTACTAGTAGTAATGCCAGGAGCTACTAGTAGCTATTTGCTCCTAGCAATATTTACAGATGCCCCAAATTGCAAGAGTGTCCGGGCTTCTAGTGGTGGTGGCCTCTATCCCCCGTTTGCGAGCTATTTAGAAGAGTGGCCCCGCTCACCCCATGAGTAAGTGGTAGGGCCTGGTAAGGATTGGGCGGATGAGGGAAACGCAATGTTTGGATGATGGCCAATGTGTTTTAAGACTGGCAGGCGCGCCGGCACTTTTAAGGCGTGGCATCACGGGCTGCTTCCAAACGTCACCCGCGAAAAAGTAACTATTTTATATGATAAATGCCTTTCAGCGTGCTTGCTGTGGTGGAGCTGTCTCGACAAACGTCTGTCTGCTGTGCAAGAAACAAGGCCACAAAATACATGCAACAAAAAGACTTCAGTGCGGAGTGCCCTCCTACTAGTAGTTGGACAACGAGCCAATTCTATACTACTGACCACCAGTCAGTTGTAGCCAATGCCTGCAAGGGAAAACCCTCACTATATACATTACAACCCGATGCATACAGATCAAGTCTAAACGTCTTGTGTGTCCCACTGCCACTTGAGTCACGATTCGTCCATTGTCTATCAGTCTATCAACAGTAGCAATGGAAACGAAGGAATGATTGGATGCCAAGTGGATGGCCCAGAATGTCTGTGTTCAACAATATTCTGAAGTCCATGATCAATGCCAGGTGGATATGACTCTCTACTCACATGATCCCTGGATCTTGATCCATGCATGATGATTCCCCATTGACTTGGATTTGGAGAGTCCATGTTGCGTTGCCCACCCCCTCTCTTTCCTTCTTCTCCCCCAAAAGGCGTTTTGCGCGTCACCTTGAAGGAAGTGATAGCGACTCAGCTACTCTATAAATGCTTAAGATGTTACATCATCCATGCCTTCTGCCAGGACAAAAACATGGCCCACCCACCTCTTGGATATGTGCATCTGTCATGAAGGCCAGCTTGAGCCCAGCCTCAGTAGCTACAGCAAAGAGGCAAAGGTTGATGTATGTTCACACAGCCTTTAAACAACCGGATCTCATAGCTCATAGTTAGTGCACAACAAAGCACAGGGAGTACTTTGGTCAATCTGATCGCAAGTACTTTGCCAGATCGACCGCAATGTCATGTAAGTTCATGTGGCAGATGGGGCTGTGGGTGTGCAGAGGCTGTGTGCAGCGACTACTTGTCGCTTTCGTTGAGTGCTCGATCGCCATACCGCGTGGCTAAGCTACATTGAGACAGTCCTATCTCTGCGACCATGGTAGATTCCTTTGCTACTAATTTTACTTCTAACTATATAGACCTAATTCTAATTACTATTAATTCTATTCTAATTCTTGTTACTAGTATTTACTAGTAGTAAGGCCCTTGCTCCTAGTAAGGCCAGGAGCTCCGTTCGTAGCGTCCGATCGCTCCCAAAACAATCCCAAGTCCAAAGACTCAGAAAAAAAAAAAAAAAAAAAACAAAACACATGTTTTACCTCCAGTTATGACCAACTCCAGTGAGGTCATTGGCCTGTAGGGAATAGAGTTGATGACGAACACGAACCAAACCGCAGCTGCAACAAGTGATCAAATCAGTCGCATCAACCCGCATCAACATGTCCTTCTTGGATCT